GGTTATGGTGACTATGTTTTATGAAGACTGAAATGAGGTGGAAGTGAGGTAGGAGCAGTAAAAAATGGGAGGCTAAAGGCACATCATCTTGGGTCACAGTGTGTATAATCAGCCTTGGATGAGTTATCTGAATAAGTACATTTGTCATATTCTGGATGAGACAAGCCTGGTTGTCTGGTCCTGTCCTCTTCTTTCAGCAACCATGCACATCTTGAGCAGGCTGCTCACAGCTTTTGTGTGGCATTGCTGTTCTCAGCTGAGGAGAACATTTGAAGGAAAGAGAAAGAATGAGACAAACCTGAAACACAAATGATATAGGGAAAAGTGGAAGGCAGAGTGAAAAACTGTGTAGTCATGTTAGGGTCTTGCTGGTCCGGTGATGTAGCAGACCTTGCAGTAATTGACACAAGTTACTGCAGAACCTGTAATAACATTTGTGTCACCAAAAGTTTGGTTTTCAAAAGGTGTCTAAGTTTGCAGACAAGAATCTGCAATGGAATAAGCAAGAATTTAGTGAACTAATCATGCCTCTGTTCTGATACATCACTTCATACTTCCTGAGCTTGTATCTTTTTTCAGTTTTTTAATGGATCTCATTTTAGTGTATATTCTCATGTGATACCAGTACTTTCTTCACGTCAAGAATTTGCTTTTCTTTGTAAATGCGGTGGTCAGCTGTGACAATGCACGGCCAACACTGTGGGTCTCTACTTATCAAATAAGCTGTGGAAGTTTTGAAAATCTAAGTCCTTAATTGCAACTTGGCCCTTAAAGCCTTTTTTTTTTTATAACTTAGAGTACAGTTTTGAAAGTCTCAGGATATTATGAGTAGTTGGAGTTTGCCTGAACTTGTAAAAGACAAAAACTCTGTTTGAAAAGTTCCTGGACCACAACTCATTGAGGTCTGGCAAAGTGCCTCGGGAGTATCCTTGCACGTTTACTCTGTTCACATGTGCTTCTCTAGGCCTCTTCTGTATGCCACTGTCAGAGGCAAGACATGTAGTAATTTAAGTTTACTATGCAATTGGTTTTAGTTTCTTCAGGAAAAATTTGGAAACATTGCCAACAGCAAAACCCCATTAGTCTATTTCTATGTATTCCTAGTCTTTTTGGGTTGTAGGTGTCGGGTAATTTTTTACATGGCTTGACAAGGAGATAAAGTTTGAATGATTTATTGAGGGAGGTGTTTAGAACATAACTCTTCAAAATGTGGAGTTTTGAATTGCAGCCTTGAAACTGCTTTGAGTGAAACACAGCACCTCTTGTAATCTTTCTTTTTATTTTCTCATAATCCTATTATTTTTATAAAATTTGGAATGCTGGGAGATGATTTAAACTGCAACCCACAGGGAGGAGTAGAATGATCTTAGGTTGCTTATTATGGTAAAAAGGAGGCTAAGGAATGATCTAATAGCAGCCTATGTGAGCCAAACTGGACAAAAGGAGGCCAAATCCGTCGGGTGCTGCCTGATAAACTCAGAGTTTACACTAGTGGAGAAGTTCTGCATGGAGGAAGCTGCCCAGAAAAGGGAAATCTCTACCTTTAGAAGTTCTCAAAATCCAACCGGTTATAACTGATAGAGTGCAGCACTGACTGCTAGTCGCACTTGCAGCATGGGGTAGAACTAGGTGGTCATCAGAGATAACTCCCATACACTGGCCTGGAGCTGTGTTTCACAGAGGTCACTACACATAAACCATAGGGGTGCTGCAAGAGCAATTTGTGTGGGTGACCGGACCAACAGCACATTGGCACAGTGCTGCAGCCTGCTAAAGATGGGATAGTCAAAGATTCTGAGTGCTTTTTACTTGAGAAGTAATAAATGATTGCATGAGATCCGAATTTATGGAACTGAAACACAGTTGTCCTTACTAGAGGCAGTTCTTGTCAACTTGGTATAACAGGAGTGAATTCTGGGAAATGTGGAAGGCCAGTATTAGCAAAGGAGAGACAAGTGAGTTGGCAGGATGAATGGGTTAAAATTAATCAGACTGTAGAGCATGGTGTCTGATTATCGCTCTTCAGAACTACCTTAATTCCCCCAAAGCACTGGGTTTTTGTTTTGGGGGGTATGATGATCTCAAAGGTCTTTTCCGACCTAGATAAATCTGTGACACTGTGGTTCTGTGACATGCAAGTTATCAGACAAGACCAAATGATACTTAATGCAAGTTGGAAATGATCCCTACAGTTTGTATGGCCACACCCCACTTACCTGTGTGAAATCATGAGGAATATGACTGTGTGATTGTGATCATATATACAAAAATACTTTATCCACTTGACAAAATACTGTAAGAGTTGTGTATTTAAACTGTCTGAGTGCAGTTGTGAAATATTCTTTATAGATGTACTAGCCTGTTCAAAATGCTGCCCTTGGACATCTGTATATGAGATCATAGGATATTTCAGGTTGGAAGAGGCTTCATGAGGTCATCTTGCAGCAAGGTCAGTTGAGGTCAGAGCAGGTTCTTCAGGGCTTTATCAAATCTGGTCTGGAAAACTCCAAATATGATCATAAGATGCACCCCCAAAATTACTTGTCATCACTTGAAAGACTTTCTGTGGTTTAATATAGGTAAAATGAGATTAAATGGTTTTCTGTGTACCCTTGGGAAGAAGAAAGGTGGGAGACAGAGTATCTAAGGCCACAATTATGTATCAAATGGCACCTTCTAACTTTACTTGTTCTATTGCTTGCAGTATAATCTGGAAACAGAAAAGGATCCTGTAGTTATTGTTATTTCCACTACTGGAACAGGAGACCCACCAGACACTGCCTGCAAGTTTGTAAAGAAAATTCAAGACAAGACCTTGCCTCCTGACCATTTCACACATCTCCAGTATGGATTGCTAGGTGACTTAGTATTTTCTATATTATTGCAGAACTTGTCTGTCAATGAATATTTTTTTTTTCTGAATAGGTGGTTTGGGCTTATTAAAGTGTTTACAAAACATTTATTTTTAGAAACGGCAGTTTTGCATAATGTCCTCGATGAGCAATAAAGGAAAAAGTCACAAAAATTATCTGAATGTAAGCTACCAGTGTAGTTTTTTATAACTTAATTTTCTTTGCATAAAAACCATATGATAGGAGCCATCAATAACTATTTGAAGTTTAAATTTCATGTGAAATCTACAGGGATTAGTAAACTAGATTAGTTTACCTCACTGTCTGAGTCAGTGGGCATTTTTCTCTAGGGGAAGGGAATGGCAGTATAAAATGTTCTTAAAAGTGAAAACCTTTAATCTTCCTATCCCTTTAAATTTCAATAATACTTTCATTTTGAATGTTGTACTCATCAAGAGAATGAATGTACCTTCAGCTTAAAGACGGATAAGCAAATTACAGATTTGGCAGAATGCATGATATATTTTGAGCTGATGATAAGGTTAATTTGTTGAATTTTCAAATTTCATTTATAAACAAGCTTCAGAAATTTCTATTTAAACCTAGGTTACTTTTACCTGACAAGTTTAAATTGATAGATGGGAGTGAGGAAACTTCTAAGTTTCTAATAAGGAAGGGAACCATTAGAAGGAAATTTCTACTGGATATATAATGTGGAAGTCTGTAAGAGATTTTTCAGGGTGCTGACAGTCTGGGACACAGCAGAGACCTCTCTATAGTCGAGTTAGATGTTAATAGTTTATTTCAGGGCGTGGGTGAGGGAGCCCTGGTAAGCGCCAACAGACGAAGCTCAAAGCAGGCTCAGAGGAAACAATAGAAAAAGGGGTAGCACATGGATACATGAGTTCAGGACTTAAGATAGCTAAGAAAGAGTAACAAAACAGAAGTAAGAGAGCCAGAAAAAGAGGAAGAAGAAGAGCGAGCTCTCCTTTACAATTGTTTATATAATCTATATATTGAATATTCTATCCTTTCACTAACCAATCTTTGTAAGTATACTAATACAGTAACATTTGTGTGCAACCTATAGAAATCGCTGCTTTTGCATATTTTTAGCTATCTCAGGGTACTTCGGACCTTTCTATATGAGGCTGGGAAGAGGGGTCCCAGCTTAGTTTTATTGGGGGGAAGAATGTGTTTCTGGCATGCCAGACCGGTTTCTTTGAATTATTCAAACTGTGCTTTCATTTGTATTTCTTCCTTAGCCTCTCTGGCTAAGGAGTCATATCTATAATTCCTTTCTGATTCTACCTTTCCAACAGAAGTCTGAACTATGTGCATCCTAGTCATGTAGCATTTTGAGAAGCTGTTATGCTGTTGCCTAGTTACACATTACAGTTTGTGAAATGATCAGGTTTTTCGTAGCTGACTGCATGCATATGTGTATGTGTAAAGATAAGTATTGTATTAATCCTGTATTATGGCAGAAATTATTATGATGTCTAAATTAAAACATTATTCCAGTTTAACAAGTTAACAGTCTTAAAATTCATTCATGGTATCCATTTAAACTGGTTCAATGAAATGTTTGCTCAACTGTACTTGAGAGGAAGCAGAAGTCCTCTTAAAAGGAAAAAAAAAAAAAATAAAAAAAAATGCTGCTATAAGGAGAGAGGAATACTCCATCATTAAGTAGCATTATGGTTTAACTGCAGCCAGAAATCAAGCCCCACCCAACTGCTCTCTCACTTCCTCAACCCCTCCCTGGTGGGATGGAGGAGAGAATAGGAACGGTAAAAGTGGTTATACTCATGGGTTGAGGTAATGACAATTTAATAGGGGAGGCAAAAGCCATGAACACAATTAAAGCAAAGCAAGGGATTCATTCACCCTTCCCCATGGGTAGGCATGTGTTTCAGCCATCTTCAGCAATGCAGAGCTCCATCACATGTAGTGGTGATTTCAGAAAATAAATACCATCACTGCTTATGTCCTCCCCTTCTGTCTTCTTTCCTCAGCTTTATGTGCTGAACATGGTACCATGTTGGCATGGGATGTCCCTTTGGTCATTCTGTTGGGGTCATCTGTCCCAGCTGTGTCCACTTGGTGCACCCCTACCATCCTTGCTGGTGAGGGAAGGGGAGGCAAGAAGAGGCGAGGCAGGGCCTTGACTGTGTAAGTGCTCCTGAGCAATAACTAGAACATCCCTGAGTTATCAACGCTGTTTCCAGCCCAAATCCAAAATACAGCCCCATAGTAGTTATGATGAGGAAAACAGACATCCAAAACTAGCACAAGTGGAAATAATAAAGATCTAATGGTTTTAAATCACACACAATAAAGGGTCAGGCTGTGAAAAATTCTGATAGCAATAGTGAACCAGTGGTATGGGTTATTTAGAGAATTTGTAAAAATGGACCTAAAACCAATGGTCTTTAGGACTGTTGGGCAAGCATCTCCAAAGGATGATTGATGATTTTTGTGGGGTGGGTCAGTGATTTGGTTGACCTCTTAAAATATTGGATCTTCCATGGATGTACCTCCTGAGTGCACTGATTGTTCAACTGTTAACAAAGAGCATCTTCATCTAAAAAAGCTTCACAACAGTTAAGGAGCAGAAAATCCAGTGCAGGTGAAACAAGATCTATAAAGAAATCTTTGATTCCTGCAGAGGAATTTGCTGGACTATATTCCCTTATGCAAATTTTTCAGCTTTCTTGTTTAAAATCACTATGTTTGATCTTTTTTTTTCCCCTGAGTTTCTAATATTTTAAAATTTATTTTATACTCTCTCATGTTGCTGACATTATTAACAACTTACCCTGAAAGATAATTTCTTTTGGTAATTCACACATAGTTTATCAGTTTTACTCTTTTCAATTATTTCAGTTCCTTACATTCTTCCTTTAGAGACATTTTGTATTTTTTAAAAGCCTCAAACTAAAACAGTATTCTTCTGAAATGTGAAATATTGAAAACAGTATTTTTTTTCAGAGTATTTCTATGTCTTACATTTGGGAAGGAGGAGCCACTTTTTCAGACCTAATTTGGGACAAACATAATTTTGTTTGAAATGCATATAAACGAATGTGTATTTCAATGTAGCATCTGAATAATACACTTATATATATGCACGTATATGTTTAAGTATATATCGATATATATAATTATATTTATCATAGAAGGCCTTTGTTGGACAAGGCCTTTAAGATCATCCAGTTCCAACCACCTGCTATGGGCAGGGACACCTTCCACTAGACCAGGTTGCTCAAAGTCCCATCCAACATGACATTGAACACTTCCAGGGATGGGGCATCCACAACATCTTTGGGCAGCTCGTTCCAGTGCATCACCGCCTTCACAGTAAAGAATTTATTACTAACATCCAATCTAAACCTACTCTCAGTTTGAAGCCATTCCTCGTTGTCCTGTTGTTACCGCTGAAGATGAATAGATCACGTGGACACAGGTTGAGGTGTGGTGCAAGAAAGAGCAGAGTTTATTTTTCCTCCCAGAATTTATAGACTTGTGACCATGGCCAGGGATTGGATGGTCAGGATAACACTTTCTCACTGCACTGGCCATGAGAAATGCCCATCACAAGACGTGTAACAGAATGTACACATATCTATGTTTACAGTTACTGTCCTGGGAAAGTCCTTAGAAAACTATGTTAGCAGGCTCAGAAGCTGAGTTTTCAGGGCGACATCTCACCCTTTTTGGTTTAACAAAAAGAAATGAAAAAAGAAAAATGAACAAAGAAACTAGCAACATTACAATAATAGAAAAATACAATACTCCATACAATCAGAAGGCTGTAATTTCAGGGTGGTATCTCACCCTTTCGTTATTACAAAAAAAAAACCAACCAAACAAAAAAAACAGAAAAACAACAGAACTCAAAAATAATTGACACAGTTGTCCAACATCAACACCTGCTTGTGGATGGCTCCCAATTTGGTCACAGAGGCAGAATCCATGGCCAAATTGAAAGGTGCCTGGGAAAACTTATGAAATGCTATGACAGCAGTCTGTAATTCTATCAATATTCGATCCAGCCTCATGACTCTTAAAAAAAACCCCCCAAAAAACAAAATAGCGACATCAATGGAAAGACTAATAAACTTGAGGAGCAGAAACTGCTCGCAGAACCTCCTCCAGCATCTACTGTGCCTGTGGGTCAGTGTTGGAGCTGACTTTAAATCAGAGTCCCCCTTTAATAGACCAAACAAGGGAGACAGTTGTGTCGTGGTCAGTCCCATATAGGGACACAACCATGTAAAAGTCCATTAATATTTGGACATCATTCATGCAGCGTCTGCACTGAATGCAAAAAAAAATAATTGCACCTCCAAATGCGGGACTGTTTGTCCCAAAATTATTTTTGGCCCTCAAATAATTTCAGGGAAGTTGTAGAAACGAGCAGCAGGAAACGGCTCGCAACCTCCAGAGAGGGCTAGAACCCCATATCATCCGCAAATGCCGGCAAATTTTGCATGCCTTATGGCAAAATCTCCATTGATATCACTGTGTGGGCTCAGCATTAATGACAGCTGGCACCAGAAAGACAAATTTTGGTCTGTCATCGGGATGCAAAGGAATTGTAAAAAACAATCCTTCAGATCCACAATGAGGACTAGCCAATCAGCAGGAAATATAGCAGGTGAAACCATGCTAGACTGCAACATCCCCATGCTTTCCATCATAGCATGAACTTTCTGGAGGTATTATAGCAACCCCCATTTCCCAGACTTCTTGATACAGAAAACAGGAAAGTCCCAGGGACTGGTTGAAACTCCAGATCACTGTGATCCAGCTGTTCTTGCATCAAGTCATGGAGGATGTCTAGTCTATCATGAGAAAGGCCAACAGAATCTGCTGAACAAAGAGTCAGTCTCAAGTTCTTCTTTGCGAAGAATGTGTCAGCATCGGGTCCAAGGGTCACTCCGGGGGCCCGTCAGCAAACCTGACAATCGTGATGTCCATGCCAGTGTCAAGAACCTGCGGAAGCTAATCTCCAACAGTATCTCACCACGGATGGACTGAGTGTAGACCCGTTCAGGATGATCCCTGGTTGTCAGAACAGCAGTCCGTGAACTCAGGGAGGTCCAGGGAACCCAAAGCCACCATCTCCTTGCAGCTGTATCTCAGCTCTGCGAACATAAAGCTCAAAAGGCACAAGGTGAGCAAATCCAGGTCCTGCAGGGATTGGAACAGGAGGGGTGAGTGTGGAACCCATGGCAGAAATGCACCCCAGGAATTCCAAATCAATGTCCCCTAGGTGAACAATGGTGCCCTGGGCAGTGACATTCAACCACGCCACAAGAACAGCACTCATGGCCTTACCCACCAGACCAAAGCATTTGGAAGCACATGGAATGCCTGATACGCTCAGCTGCACAGCCATTTTACAAGAGGACAAGGTCCACAGGCCAGCCAAAGAGGCTCCAGCAGCCTGGGACCCCTGGCCCGTCAAGGCCACCGGCTTCACCCCCACAGCAGCACCACCTGAGCCAATGGTAAACAGCTCAGGACCTTGGTCTACCACAGCCACAGGAGGTGATGGGGGAGGGCCGGCTCCAGCCGCAGGCTGGGAACCCGAGGCGGGGGGGGTTAGAGGCAGCTCGGCACAGCCTGCTCCCAGCGCAGAGGGGGCAGCGCTCGGCACTGCCCCTAACAGCGTTTCTTCAGGGGCGAAAGGTCCAAGAAGTGGTGCCGGCCGCTCCTGCACTGGAGCAGCGTGCGTGGTTGCCGGCGCGGAGCCCGGGCCCTGCCCGTTCCCCCCCGCGGGGCAGGGCACGGCCCAGCCGCAGCAGGGACACGGGACAGACCCTGAGGCATCCCCCAGGGCTGGCACGGCCCCCCATTCAAGCACCTCCCCATTGGTCTGTGCCGGGAGGGCACACGGAGGAGGCGAGCCTGCCCCAGGCTTACACCGCCGGGTGCGGGCCAAGGCGGGGTTACACCCCCCCGTTCCACGGCGCCCCCGACGGCCTGCTGGCAGGGATCC